CCACAGAAATACAAACGGTTAGAAGAGAATATTATGAAAAACTCTACACCAATAAATTGGACAACCTAGAAGAAATGGATGAATTCCTAGAAACATATAATCTACCAAAACTGAAATAAGAAGAAATAGAAAATCTGACGAGACCAATAACCAGCCAAGAAATTTAATCAGTAATAAAAAACTCCCAACAAACAAAAGTCCAGGACCAGATGGCTTCACAGGCAAATTCTACCAAACATTTAAAGAATTGATATCTATTCTCTCAAACTACTCCAAAAAATAGAAGAGGAAGGAAAACTTCCAAATTCATTCTATGAGGCCGGTATCATCCTGATACCAAAGCAAGATAAAGACGCCACAAAATAAAGAGAACTACAGGCCAATATCTCTGATGACTATAAATGCAAAAATCCTCAGCAAAATACTAGCAAATTAAATCCAACAATTCATTAAAATAATCATTCACCATGATCAAGTGGGATTTATTCCCAGGAATGCAAGCATGGTTCAATTTTCACAAATCAATCAATATGATACGAGAAAGGATAAGAACCATAAGATCATTTCAATAGATACAGAAAAAGCATTTGACAAATACAACATCCATTCATGATAAAAACCCTCAACAAAAGTCTAGAGGGAACATACCTCAACATAGGTCTTATCTGGAAAACCCACAGCTAACATCATACCTGATGGGGGAAAACTGAGAGCTTTTCTCCTAAGCTCAAGAATAACACATGGATGTCAACTCTCACCACTTTTATTCAACATAGTACTGGAAGTCCTAGCCACAGCAATCAGACAACAAAAAGAAATAAAAGGCATCCAAACTGGTAAGGAAGAAGCAAACTTTTACTATTTGCAGATGACATGACACTATATATAGAAAATCCTAGGGGGCGCCTGGGTGGCTCAGTCGTTAAGTGTCTGCCTTCCACTCAGGTCATGGTCCCGGGGTCCTGGGATCGAGCCCCGCATCAGGCTCCCTACTCTGTGGGGAGCCTGCTTCTCCCTCTCCCACTCCCCCTGCTTGTGTTCCCTCTCTCGCTATGTCTCTCTCTGTCAAATAAATAAATAAAACACTAAAAAAAAAATAAAAAAAAAAAAAGGAAATCCTAAAGACTTCACCAAGAAGCAACTAAAACTGATAAATGAATTTGGTAAAGTCACAGGATACAAAATCAACATACAGAAATCTGTTGCATTTCTATATACTAATAAAAGCAACAGAAAGAGAAATTAAGAAAATAATTCCATTTACAACTGCATTAAAAACAATAAAATACCTAGGAATAAACTTACCACAGAGGTGAAAGACTTGTACTCTGAAAACTATAAAACACTGATGAAACTGAAGACAACACAAAGAAATGAAAAGACATTCCATGTTCATGGATTGGAAGAACAAATAGTTAAAATGTCCATACTACCCAAAGCAATCTACAGGTTTAATGTAACCCCTATCAAAATACCAACAGCATTTTTCAGAGAACTACAACAAACAATCCTAAAATTTGTATGGGCCCACAAAAGACTGTGAGGAGCCAAAGCAATTGAAAAAGAAAAGGAAAACTGGAGGCATCACAATTCCAGACTTCAAGGTTTATTACAAAGCTGTAGTGAGCAAAACAGTTGGTACTAGCACAAAAACAGACACATAGATCAATGGAACAGAAGAGAAAACCCAGAAATAAACCCACAATTATATGGGCAATTTATCTTTGGCAAAGCAGGAAACAATATGCAATGGGAAAAAGACAGTCTCTTCAACAAATGGTGTTGGGAAAAGTGGACAGCAACATGCAAAAGAATGAAACTGGACCACTTTCTTTCATCATACACAAAAATAAACTCAAAATGGATTAGAGACCTAAATGTGAGACCTGAAACCATAAAAATCCTAGAAGAGAGCACAGACAGTAATTTCTCTGACATCGGCCATAGCAACATTTCTCTAGATGTTTCCTGAGGCAAGGGAAACAAAAGCAAAAATAAACTATTGGGACTACATCAAAATGAAAAGCTTTTGCACAGCAAAGAAAACAATCAACAAAGCTAAAAGGTAACCTACAGAATGGGAGAAGATACTTGCAAATAATGTATCTGATAAAGCATTAGTATCCAAAATATAAAAAGAACTGATACAACTCAACACCCAAAAACCAAATAACCCAATTAAAAAATGAGCAAAAGAAATAAACAGATATTTCTCCAAAGAAAACATACAGATGGCCAACAGACACACTGAAAGATGTTCAACATCACTTATCATCAGGAAAGGCAAATCAAAACCACAATGACATATCACCTCACACCTGTCAGAATGGCTAAAATCAACAACACAAGAAACAACAAGCGTTAGTGAGGATGTGGAGAAAAGGGAACTCTCACGCACACTGTTGGAAGGAATGCACGCTGGTGCAGCCACTGTGGAAAACAGTATGGAGGTTCCTCAAAAAATTAAAAATGGAGAGTACGCAGACCATCACCTTGAGGGAAGTGTGCTCAGGACTCATTCTGATCTTCCCTAAATATCTATGTTATAAAGAAGCTCAGGTACTCACAGAATGAATATATCTTCATAAAATGACTTCAGAATCTCAAGATCATTACATATCAACAAGTAGGACTCACCTTTAAGATAATAAGAATCACTGAAGAACTTAACTAGGACTTTCCAACTACTGAGGACCTGTTAATTAGCACCTCCCACATAACCTAAGCTGGATCCTCCAGAGGAAAAGCCATGGGATTACATAGTGAGAAGGTAGGCATCTGCAAATCAGGAAGAGGCTTTCATCAGAAACAGAATTTACCAGCACCTTGAGTGTATACTTCTAGGCTCCAGAACTGTGAGAAAATAAATGTCTGTTATTTAAGCCACTCAAAAAAAAAAAAAAAAATTAAAAATGGAACTACCCCATGATCCAGTAATCGCACTACTGGGTATTTACTCAAAGAATGCAAGAACGCTCATTCAAAGGGATACATGCATCGCTATGTTTATAGCATTATTTACAATAGCCAAACTATGGAAGCAGCCTAAGTGTCCATCGATTGATGAATGGATAAAGAAGATGTGGTGTGCGCACCCATGCGCGCGTGCAAACACACACACACACACACACACACACACACACAGAGGAATATTATTCAGCCATAAAAAAGAATGAAATCTTGCCATTTGCCATGACATGGATGGAGCTAGAGAGTATTATGCTACGTTAAATAAGTCAATCAGAGAAAGACCAATACCATAGGATTTCGTTCATATGTGGAATTTAAGAAACAAAACAAATGAGCAAAGGAAAAAAAAAAAGAGAGAGAAAGAGGGAGACAAACCAAGAAACAGACTCTTAACTACAGAGAACAAACTGATGGTCACCAGAAGGGAGTGGGTGGGAGTGGGTTAAACAGGTGATGAGGATTAAAGAGTCCACTTATCATGATGAGCTCTGAGTCATGTAGAAAATGGTTGAATCACTATATTGTATACCTGAAACTCATATAACACTATATGTTAACTGTTAAGGAGTTGAAATTAAAAACTTATAAGAAAAAAAAGAAGACCATGTATTCCTGATAAATCCATAGCAGTTTATCATTAATTTTGAACAAGACTCTCTAGTTATCATATTCCTATCACATTCATTCTACAACACCTTTCCCTACATATTATATATTGTTTTACTTATATACAAGTGCCCTGGGGATCAAATTTGTATAATTTTGTAGTTGGCTTTCTGTTGTTAAGATTGGCAGACTATTTCATTATTTCTGCCAAATCCATGTCACTTCCCAGTTCCTGGTGGCAGCAATACCCAGAGGCCGGGGCACCTTTTAAGTGGGACATCAGACAGCTAGTTGAGAACTATCTCAACTCACCAAAAATGATAAATGACAGCAATGGCTTCTCGTGATTTGCTTCCAAGGTATTTAATTAGTCCTGACACCCCATAACGAGAATTGTGAAAAAAATTATTATAATTGTCACAACATTATAAAAATCCATGAGATACATATGTACAACGAGGTTTATTACCACTTTTTGAAACTCCTTCCTGGGGCACTTGGGTGGCTCAGTTGGTTGAGCGGCTGCCTTCGGCTCAGGTCATGATCCTGGAGTCCCAGGATCAAGTCCCGCATCGGGCTCCCTGCTCAGCAGGGAGTCTGCTTCTCCCTCTGACCCT